GTACCGCAAATATACGAGCTGTAAACAAAGCAGCTCTCGTTCACCACAGCTGCTTCTAATAGAGAATCTGATAAGAAGTTGCAAGTGGCACTGCCGTTCTCTGCCGTTGGCCTTTTGGTTGTGGAAGAAGAAAGGATACCGTGGAGGCAAAAAACAAGGAGAAACCACACTAAATGGGTGAAATCATGGCTGCTGCAGCGACAGGCTCAAGGGGCCCCCTGAACCCTTCTCTTCTCATGCATTGATTTGCTAAGCAAAACAGCCAGTCCGACTGGTCTCTGCCGCCGATTCAACATGCTGAATCGGCCGAAAAGCTGGCGGCAGGGTCTGACTAGTGCCAATGGTGCAGAACACACTGGAAACACTAGAATAACAGATGCTCGCCGATGGCCCGACAGGGGCTGACAGACGACTGTCAGCCTGCTGCACCAGGAAACTATAGGGAACTCATAACTTTCACTTGACTTTGCCATTCCCTCGAATAACTCTTTGTGGCTGTTATTGTGTAAGATACTGTATCTATAAGAAATCTTAATACAATAAGTATTCTGTTGTCTGGCAGCCACAGCAGTGCTGTAAGTGTTACTTCTTATTTCTTATTTCAGTAACAAAGGCTAATTAAGACCATTTTGGCTGCAGAAACTTTGCAGTATAATTAGCAAATGTTTCCTATTCCAGTCTACTTTTAACTTCTTATTTTAAGTCGTCCAAGTGTTTTCTAGAGAGGGAACAGTGCTGTCTGCTGAAACTCTCTCCACTTAGCTGAGCACTAAAGAGGCTACAAGTGTGCTCAAATGAGTTGCATTCGATACAAAACTGCTCCCCTCGATAGGTACATGTGTGCACACACACACAGTACACACACACTGTTGTAGCCACAGCAGCCTCTCACTGACATCAGATCCAATCTTCTGTGGTTTCAGTTGACTCAAACAGCTGTTTTTCTCTACTCAGCAGAACGAGCTAATGAGAGAGATACTGTATGTGTGAAGGAAAACGAGGCTTGAGTACCGTCATACAGGATCTGAAACTCAAAAAGCCGGTGTCAGTAAACACTTGGCGCCTCTCTGGTCATCAGCCAGCTTTGCATCATTGCTTATTTCTGCTAGCTCTATATTTAGAGCTGTTAATGAGAGCCTGCAATGTTGTTTATGAGTTTTCACACTTTAATGTACTTAAAGTCCAATGAATCACTATGGAGATACCGGATATTAGTCATTTGGTATGTGTTGATATACACTTTGGCCTGAGACAATTAGCCAACAAACTGATCGGTTCATCTCTGGAAGATAAACAGACACCTATTCTGATAATTATATTATAGTTATATGTGGATTAAATAAAAGTCAGCTGTATTGCAGTAGTATAGAAAGATAAGCAAGGTATCTTTATTTGTAACTTTAAAGGGAAATTACAATTTTATGATGTACCTAGCGTTAGTGCATTTTTTATAGTAGGATTAGTGGAAAACCGACTTTCTGGTGGGATCGCACTTTTAAAAATTAAGTCAAACGGCACAGACATCTGGATTGTGCTTGTATAATTATCTTTAGGACTTTATTCAATTTATCATAACACAAAATGTAGAATATTGTGACGGTTTGCAGCATCTGATTATCTGAGAAACCTATTTTTCCTAACCATGCAAAAATTACTAACATTAGCTTGTTCCAACTACTCATCTCTATTTTTTTATATTCTCAGTGTAGTCACTGTAAATCAAAAATCTTTGTTATATAGAGTTGGTTGTACAAAATGAGCTATTTGAGATATTACTCTGAGCATTTGAATTATTTTTCTGACATTTTAAGTGATCATTTTGATTTTGTTTTGCTTGGCAGGATCTGCCAGGTGAAATGAGGTGAACTGTCCAACTCCACGTCTGCAAAGCTTGGAGAAAAACATTTTGTTGGGTTACTGAGTGTAGGCTGATGTGCAGAAGTGGCAGTTTTATCCACTGATAGTAACTGTATCCATTTAAAATTAAATCTGCAACACAAAAGGTGCAATAAATGAAGGGGTCTTAGGCAGGCTGTGTGCGGTGTGTGTGTGTGAGGATGGGATCTCCTCTGTCCTGTTGGTTTAACCTTTAACACAGAGCAGCTACAGAGGCAAGTCAAGCCTGGTAGACTAGCTGTCTCGAATGCCATTCCTTTCCAACCCCTCACACCTCCAGTCTATGATCAGTGTCACTAATTACAGCCTGTTTCAACACAAAGACATTATCTCAGAGGGATATCCACTGACAGACTCGTTTTCTGCTCATTTGCATACTTATACTCCCACTTTCTTTTGGGTTTGTTGTTTGTTTGTTTTGCCCATTACAATCTGCACCTCCTGTTGGACTTTTCTCATCACTCCTCTTCAGTTTCCACCATTTTTCCTCGTCCTTTCCAGCTGCTGTTGTTGTTCTGCCCCATTTCCCTGTATTTTCTGCCACTGTGTTGTCGGTGTGTCAGTAAGTTCAAAGGTCGATGTACAGCACAGTTTAGTAAACCATGTGTGCATACGAAATGCACCTGACTACGTGTGCATTTCCCCGGGTGGAGGATTTTGAGGAGAGGTAGCAGGTGGGTTGTTGGATCATTGGAAGTTCATTTTGATAGTGTGAACCCCCCCCAACACTCTGTAATTAGGCCAATCAGACATGGTTATTACAGTTAATTGAATCTGATGATACTATAAGTCCATGTGGAGGTAGCTATGAGTTAACTCACAATGAAGGGATAAAGACAGAGTACATGATTATTAAAATCAGCTATTTCTTTACCATTTACTGGGTTTGACTAGAAAATGTCAGACTTCCCTTTATCGTTGTAGCAGACATCACAGGATCACCACAATTAGCAGTTTCTCCATTACATTTCAGTCCTATCCTCCTATCCTCGCTACTTCTGATAGTGTTTGAAATACAAACAAGCCAAGGCTTTTTATTCAGATGTACCTGATGATATCAAAATCATCTGGAGAGATTATGATGTGAACTGAGCCGGTGAAGTCACTAATCAACATCAGCTACATCGCTTGGTAATTCCCGTCATTTAATAACAGTACGTTTTAATGCATCAGCGTTTCCTGTTCCGGATGAGAAACATTATACTCATGAGTGGGTTACGAAGTGGAGACAAGAGCCTGACTGATACCAGAGTTCTGAGACACACTGATATCTGAGAGGTCAAACTTCTGATAACTGTATTGATGCCTTACTTTTGGTTACTCAAGAATAGTGACTAGATATGTACAGAGCAAGATGTTTCTTGATCTCTATCTGGCAACATAAGGCATAAGTGCTTAATTGAATTTTGTCCTGGAATTCATCAGGTTCAGCTCTCAACATTTGCAACTTGTTTACTGAGAAGGCAGAAGCGACAGCCCTGAGTGGCAGCCTAATTAATGTTCACAACTCACATCAACTGAAAGTGAGACAAGCAGCGTTAAGATGGGAAAGGCTAATTAAATATGGCACATTGAAATAACAGCTGAAGCATACCTACTCCTCACACCTGTTTTTATTTTATAGCAACTATTTCAGGTATTTAAGTATCTGAAAATACCTGATGAAGATGTAATGTCGAAATGTCAGAGCAGTTTTGTTTGGGCCTTAATAAAAAGCATCTTTCTAGGAGTATTTAGTCTGCGACAGGCCTCCTTCAGTTCACATATGGGTTCCAGTTGGATAAATTAACCAAACAGGATGCAACAGAGCCGGATTTCGAGACCCATAACAACACCTCTGCTTCCACTTGTAAATGAGATAGTTGAGTTTGTACATTTTTAGTAAATTTGCAACAATTTTTTATTTTGTCATGGTTGTCGAGTGTAGGTTGATGGGCAAAAATGGCAATTTTATCAATGTCAAATTAAATCTACAGCACAATAAATAGTGCCAAAACTGGAGAAGTGAATATTTTCTGAAGTCACTGTACTGTATCTGTGCTATGCTAACACCAGCCAGTGTTTGGTCTGTGCCTGGGTGTTGACTGGGCTCTAGTGGCAAATACATTTAGCTAACTGCTATTATTTGTTGAGATATTCTGTAGATAGAAACTACCAGTTGACTGACAGTTGGATGTTCTCAGCATCATCAGGTGGGACACTGAAATGTTGAGAGATCACCTTCTAAAGCGCCTTAGTCATGCCTCGCCATCCCCTCTGAGCTACAGGACACAGACCACAGCCTTCACCGTGTGTTACCTCCTTAATTGTCGGGTGACAAGGCTGACGTTCCTCACAGTGCAGAGTTAGTGAACATGCATCATAGCTGCATGGAATTTCCACACAAAATCCCCCAAATCCTTGTGCAAATTATTATATGCTGAGTTTTTCAGTCCAACAGTTTCAGCCGTGAGTAAAGTCAGAGTGACAGACGGTTGTTGTTGCTACATGTGTCACTGGTGGCAGGTGCATGTGAGGAAGAGGTCTAAATATTTAAAAGGAATATCATCTCTGTCTACTTGTCTCATTCATCCATAGCAAACATAAAGATGTATTATGCAAATAAAAGACTAAGTTGTAAGCCTAAACAAGTACATTTATAATATTTTCTGAAGTGTTTTCTTCAAATCTACTTTCTTTCTGTCTGTCCCTCCCTCTAGCTGAGCCTCTTCCTCTGATGGACCTGTGTCGGCGTGCGGCGCGCCTGGCGATGGGTCGTGAGCGGCTTCAAGAGATAGAGAGTCTCCCTCTGCCTCAGTCCCTTAAAAATTACCTCCAGTACCAGTGACTGACACCAACGGAGCCAACAAGGACACAAAACCAGACCACCAGAAGGTCTAAAGATGGGTGGATGAAAGAAATGAATTAAAAGTTGCAAAAAAGGGGATGATGGGTGGAAGGATGTCCAAACTGAGAGCACCAGCGCTCAACCAAAGATGGATGTAAAGGAGGACATATAGACAGATGGTGGATAAACTGACAGAAGACGTCCAGGCTTTCAAACAAAGGACAGGGCAGCACCAGCTTGTTTTGGATGTTGAGCTGCTTTTTCCATTAGTTTTGGACTTGAAATAAATTATTGATGATGGTATCCTATCAAGGTTTCACTCATCCTGAAAGAAAGCCCATCCTTTGATGGCACATTGTGGTTAAGTGGTGAAAGAGACAGTGGTAAGACGACTGCTGCCACCTAGTGATGGGAATCCAAACTGCGCAGAGAAAGCACACTAATCCTGCAGTATCCCTGGAGGCCTTTCTGACATAACACCGCATCACTGCTGTTGGATACTGTAATGTGTGTTCATGGCCTCCACTGGCACAGGTGACAGGCTGCAGAGCCCAGATGGCCACGAGGATTTTAGCACCAATGTTGTTTTTGTCTGATGACTCAGGGCCCGACCAAAAGCTCCCTCTGCATACAAGGTAGATCAAAGCGTGACTACCGCAACGGCTCCTGGCTTTGTGCAGACATTTGCTGAGAGTTAAGCCCTTTTCAGACATGCTACATGGCTGGCTTCACCTACTGGATGAAGTAAGCTTTTGATCATTCAGACTGGATGTCTGGTACCGTTTGTTTTGGCTTTATTTGCAATGCCTGCAAAGTTTTTGGCAGCTGATGTAGCAGTGAGATAAAGAATAGTGATATAAAAGGAAAGAACGCCGTCTGTTTTCTCCCAGGCTTCATCAGTGATAGATTTAAAATTTATTTTACTGCTTCAGTCTCATTTAATGACCACTGTCTCTCATCAGTTTAATTATTTTATCTTATTTTATTATAATTATTTAATTCTGCTAGTTTTTTTACTGTAATGTCTGGACAGCGCACAAGTGCAGGATGTTATTAGGACTCTCATTTGCTTAGTTTAAACATTATAATATACAGCATATTCATTTTATCTATGCAGTTGAATTAAACCTGAAAAATCAATGGAGACCTGATTGTTGTTCCTGTATGATATATTTTTTTTAACAACAATTTTTAGAATCTAATCTGACGTGAGAATAACCTGCTGATCTACCCTCTTCTAAAAACTCGGCTTCAAATCTTAAACTATTTCTCTGTAACATTAAATCATGATGTAATACACACCGGAGTTTTAAAAAGCATGTTTTAGGTATTATTTAAGATTTTAACACTGATAAATTGAGCAGATCTACAGTACTTTGTCCAGACTGTGGTTTGATCCAACTGTCGTCATGACCTTTTACATTCAGTAAGGAGCTGCATGTCTGAAACGGGCTTTATTAGAGAAACAGGACAAAACTTGTTCTTTAAAGGAAGTTGCAGTGAGAACACTATATTACGTACAGTATTATGATGTCAGTTACAAGCCGAGTATTCCATACTAAGCCGTAGAGTTCAGCAATGTCTCTGTAGGAGCTGAGAGTCGCGGCCCGCCACAGTGTGACTAGTGCTTGGCAGTAAGAGGAGCCTCACCTGCTGCTGTTTGTAGCACCCTGCTGTAGCTCACTGGCACCAGACAGCATCTGTCTGCTCTCCGCACAACTGTCTTAATGACCGCAAAGAAGAAACAGGACCAGAGTAGATCTAGTCTTACTGGAGCAGGACATACAGTAGGAGGGTTACTGCTGCTGCGGCAGTATGGCCAGTGTGGTTTTGTCTCAGAAAAGGATGCAGATGTCCAGTTCACACACCACACGCACTGTAGACCAATCATGTTTTCTTTCTTAAAAAGGCTTGAGTCACTTTTTTTTTTTTACGTCTGAGTTTATATCATACATTATTATTATTATTATTTTATTATTATTATTATTGTGAGTGTGGAGTCTGATTCTGATGATGGTTCTAATTTTTTTAATCACAAGCTTGTTCTGTTTAAGTTATCATTGATGGTTATATTCAGGTAAATTTAATACAAAGAAGGGGAGAAAAATCAACATTTGTTTCTTCAATGCTGCTTTATCTTTATTATATTAGTATTGTTAGTGATGGTCTTGCCTCTTGTTTCCATCAGGACAAAAGTAGTAGAATGTGTGAACAGACAGAGCTGAGACGTCAACACGTATAAAATGTGAATAAAAGCCAAGTGACTTTGAAAAATGTTTGTTTCTTTCTCTTTACTGCTTTCAGGCTCATTTTATATCCAAAAACAATATGACAGCTTTTAGTAATGCTTAATAAAATATACACTGTAAAGTTATCCAAAGCACCTCTGACACTTAAAAAAAAAAAAAAAAAAAAAGAGCTGTAGTAAGATGCAAAAGAGCCTGACTGTTCAGCTGGGGCCGATGCACTTTCAGCATCTTTTATTATGTCTGCAGGAGTGTTTAATCTACCGCAGGAGGCCTTGGCGAGGAAAACCACGCCATAAAGTATCTGGCCATAAGTTCTCCCAGTTGTCAAGTGTGCAATTTCTATGTCAGAAAGTAAACGGCTAATGCGCTGCTCATCGGCTGCTGCAGCTGTAAATACAGCACACACTCAGCCAGAGAGATGCTGTTGCACCCAGAGGCTGCAAGTGCAGGGCACCACAGAGGCTTGATGTGGTTACAGGGATCATATTCTCACTGCACAATGTGGCATCAGGCTCTCATGAAAGCACCGTCACGGCAGGCTCACCGTATCCAAACACACAGGGGACTGACGTTCAGGAAATCAATAGCAGACAGTGTTGTGATGCTCCTGCATCACAGTCCTGCCTGGGACAGATCAAACGCTTACAGTGGAACAGGAACCGACAGCTCCTTAACACGTTCTTGATGTGCAGACAGTCTGATCAGAAACAGCTTTATTTATTGGCAAAGACAAAAAAAAGGGAGGAGGACCGCATGCTCACTCTGTCACACTTCCACTGAATCCAGAAAACCATGAGGTGATCCTGAAGAAAAACAGCTAATGACAATGAAGAAAAGAAATGGTGTTTTTCCTCCTTTCTAGCAATCTAGAGGACATACTCGAATCAAAATACAGTTAATTGCAGAGTAGGAATAGTAACATCATGCTGTCTATAGAAGGCTCCAAAGAACAACAGAAAGCGTTGGTCTGTACACGTGGGGATGCATTATAACCAAGGTCAACAAAGGTATAACAGTATAAATTCTAACTGGGATATACTGTTGTACACTTACAAAGGTTTTTTTATGAACCTCCAGAAATGTCTCACAGGTATGTATGCCTCTACAATCAGAGATAAGCTGGTTCAGTTATTTGTTACCTAAAGGGGAAAAGGAAAGGTTAAAAAAAAAAATCTATGGTAGGTAGGTAGGTACTTTATTGATCCCTCAATGGGGAAATTTCAGTGTTTCAGCAGCAATGGAGAACAGACAGCATAACACCATGAGAAACGAGCACCACACACATATCCTGATAAATAAATTCCAAGTACTCAAAAATAGAATGAAGTATTTGAATATGGGTACATTTACATAAATGCTCGAGTGCAGAGAAAAATTTCTAAGGTCTAAAACAGGTAAAATATACAGAAATAACCTGTTCAAAAACTGCAACACTACATAAAGTACTGTGTGCTGTAGATAATCTCATGTCCCTGTAAATGTTTAACACTGAAGTACCATGAGAAGACTGAAAGACAGGCAGTGAACATACAGTAAATATACCATCAGAGTTACAAATCTAATAAAAACCATGCACGCTGCTGAAGCCACTGCACCAGACAGGCAGCGGCGCTGCAGAACATTTTAATGGCAGGGCCAGTGAAAATCTTGGACTATACCGCATAGAGGAAATGCATTTGTCTAGTTTTGTATCTGTATTCTATTGATTAAAATAATAAATTATGGATGCCAAAAGTTATGATGCAATTGTGAACCACACATCAGATTTCATACTCAATTTCTTTAAAACTTTTATAATATCAATTATTCATTCATTTAATAACAACATGGCATTCCATTTCAATAGTTTTATCAGAAATCGTGTACAAAAATAATTTCCTTCCTTGAGAACGCTCCCTTCAAAATTCAACTTAAATGTGTTATATCATAAATGTATGCCAGATTTTAAGGGCTTTCTGTGTGGAGTTTGCATGTCCTCTAGCAGTCCAAAGACATGCGGCTTAGGGTGACTGGTGTCTCTAAATTGCCTGTGAGTGTGTGTGTGAGATCGTTTGTCTGCATGTCTGCTCTGTGATCGACTGGGACTAAGTGGTACAGATAATGGATGGATGGATAGCAGTCAGGGCAGTAAACAACAGCTGAGGGAGCCAGCATGTAGTCTGGCCAACAAGACCAGTCCAAAGGCTGTGGTTGGCAAATGGTGGCACATGGGCCACATCTGGTCCTTTAGTGAAATATTTGCCCCCATCAAACGCAGCAATGAAAGGATTTGAAACTTTGGTAACAATGTGTAGGGGAGCACTGGCGTAGGTTTCAAAACAGACACACAGTCTCAGCACGTCTGCTGCTCAATAACGCATCAGAAACCAAATCAAACATCTGACTCAGAATGACCTCATGAGAAGGACCCCGCTGCTCCTGCATGGCCGCTAAACCAGAACCCTGATCCTGCCACCCTTGACACTTTGACAGTCATGAGCCAACAGCCTGAAACGTTCAGTTTACATCCCCCTGCTGGCTTGGATCAACATCAGATCTCTGTCAAAACTCACCCCGAGGAACCTGTTTGCACCCAGTTTAATCTTACTGTGAACTTTAATACTAAAATGGCCGACACATATGCAGCGCCTGCTCCCGAGACCAAGGAGGACAAACTGAAAAAACTACCCATTGCCACTGAATTCAAGAAGAATGGCCCAGAATTCCTCTTGACTATTGTGCAGATCTATTCTATAGCTACAGGAAGCGATTATTTGGATTTACTGCTGTTAACTAGTTATTAAATCCAAGAGTTTGCTTAGTTTTTCCATCAGCACTTTGAATGTTTAATGGCTGGGTTTAATAAAGACATGAAGCTTTTCACTAGAATTTTAAAAAGCTCCTTTTATCACAATCTAAAACATACACACACGTTTATTCTTAGCAAGCCTCCAACTACTGTAACAACAATTTTCATTCATGTGTGGATAATTTCATGTCTTCCACAGGTAATGAGTGAATGGTTGAGTCTAAATGAGCAGTAATGTTCATCACAATTTTCCAGAAGCGATATCTTCAACTTGTTTGTTTTGATTGACCGTTATTACTGCTGCACTACCTGACTGCCACAAATGCCTCCAGCTGTCACATATGACATTCAGAGCTAGGGCAGGAGGGGCAAAGAGGAATGAAGGGACAAGAGGGGGAGATACTGCTCGAGTTTATTTTGGCTCTCACTTAATCCTTAATGGTGGAAATTTAAGAGAGAGGCAGCTTTAAGCCACTGAACAATTTCCATCAAGACATTATGTTTTTCAACAGGAAACCAGGAAGAAATTCATCCAAACAACAACAAAAACCTGAGAGGACACATGCAAGAAACCAGCTCAGCTCATATGGCCTATGATACTCAACAACAGACAAGTGTCCTAAGAAAGAAAATGATCTCAGCCACAGAAACAGCAGCAGCAGCAGCATGGGAGTGGACACCAGCTCACCTCTACAGGACACAAACAGCCAGCAGTGGGTGTGGTCTTAATGCACACATAGACAGTGCGATGCACAACAAGTACGTACAGCCAAAACAAACTAGGAACAGGCTAACCCATGTAAACAAAAGGGAAGCCTGTTTACCTCAGGTAACTGTTTTTAGAGCCACCACAGAGGACACACAGGAAAACACGTCTGCGGCTTGTGGTGCAAACATGGTAAGTTCCTCCACAAATCCTCAGAGTGCCGGGGTGCACTTATGTTTTGTGAGAATAAAATCAAGTAAAATGCAACAATAAAATATTCACATCACATATTAAGTTCATTGATTTCTCAATAAGCTGTCAATAAAAGTTTAATTACTTATTTCACCAGCAGATGTCAGTAATGCCCCACAGCAGCTCCACCGGATTGGGGTCCAGGGCCTGGTCTTAAAAATCTTTAGCTACATGTTTCAAGGTTGTCGTTTGTGTGTGTGTGTGTTTTTATTTTACACCACTGAAAACCAATGTTTCCTGGTAATTATGAAATCAAAAATGATTGCGATTTCTGAGCATGTATGCATCTTCTCCTCTGCTCATGTCAAAGTGTCTCCAAAAATGTTGTTGCTGATTAATAGTCCTGCTGTGACCTCCCCACATTTGTTGTTTCTCTCACAGCAGCCACATCACTTTAGTAAAGTACTTAGACACCCACAGTAGATTTTGATTTGATTTTTATAGCTGGAATTCTTACAAAATGTTGCATCATTAAATGCAATCTCTCAGTGTGCAAATGTGTGTTTTTAGCCCCCACATTCACTGTTTTCAAGCCACCGAAGAAATATTTTGCAGTTTACAAGCAAAAAAACATAAAAAATGAGAGGCTCAGAAGAAAAGACGTATTATTATTATTATTATACCTTTAATGGCCTTCCTATATAACTCCTTCCCATTGTTGTGACCTCATTATACCATCAGGTTGGGAAATGCTGTTCAAGCAGCCCAGTTGTGTTTTGCAGCTTAGGTAAAGGTTACAATATGAGTTGAGGCTGAAAACTATTATGCAGTTGATTTTCAGTTGTACAACATCTTAGATGTGGCAAAGATTTTGTTCAGAAGCCTTTTTGTAGTGTAGATTGGGCATGATGCTGGGCTCTGAAAAACAAGCACTAAAACGCACTATTTTACTTCTTTGACCTAAAACCAGTGGTGGTGGTAAACAGTGTGGCTGAACCTGCATTCTTCAGAAACTGCAGTGGAAAACCAGTTACATATCCAAATGGAAACACAGTGAACAAATGGAGTGATGTGATGTGAATCAAACCCCCTGCTGTCTCTGTAAGCTTATTATGGAAACAAATGGAAACCCAGTCACCCTGCTGTGATGCACTGAGTTCAGGCAGCAACATCTGTAATGGCAGCTTTTTAATTATCTAATTTACAAACCTGCCATCACACACACACACACACACACACACACACACGCACATGCATGCTGTGTTTTCATTCCTGTGGGGACTTACATTCATTTCCTATAGACTTATCCAAACCTTAACCATAACCACTACTTGCCTAACCCTAACCCTTAAACCATGTTGCTACCCTAAAATTCAGTGAGTCCCCACACTGTGAGTGTGTTAACAGGTTTTGGTGTAAGTAATATGAAGGCACACACGCACACACACGGGATGTGTAGTACAGAAACAGGGAGTAAAGCTGAGTAGAGTCTAAAACAAGTCTTTATTGGTCAATATACAGAAAGCAGTGGGATGACCACTAAAGAGAAATCCCAACCAATTTTTGTTTACAAAAGGAAAAAGAAACATATAAAATAAGTGTCTTGAACATTTTTACAGGGTTTGTTTTTATATGTAAAAGAATCATTTTTTCTCTTTAAATTTTCAGAAGCACAACATGACAAAGGGGGACGAGGGCAACAAGGCAGTTGTTTCACAATGATGACATCACAATCACAGGTGCTTAAAGGCCAACAGAGGGAGGGAAGGGTGTCACTGATACTGTTCAGATGTGAAGAGGTTACAGCTGGCTCCTGGGAACAGCAAAGCTCATCTGAATGGAGACAAACTCACGGGATTTATTTTGTCTTAAATACGTAATCTGTTATAATGTTGGTGCAAGCTGGGATCAGTATGAGTGACGTTTCCACTCCTGCATGTAGTTCTGGTGAACAGCAGTCAGAACAGCGTTTAGCAAAGTTTTTCTGTGGCTCCTCATACAGCTTTAAAGGGACAGTCCTCCAGTTTTACACACAAAGATCTGTACTACACATGAAAACAGCTGCAATGTATAACTTCATGTGTGGCTCTTGAGGAGATTTATTAAGTCCAAGAAAAATACCCTGATGATGTCTTCAGGGTTGTGTTCGATTTGACATTTGACAGTTTTACAAACTGGAGGTGTGGAGTGTAAAAAGACCCATGTCTTTTGGCTGGGGGGGTGATCTAATTTACCCAGAATTCTTAGCAAAAGACTTAGTGACGAACTAGCCAAGTGTGTGCAATGGATGAATTTATCGGTCTCTCTTCAGTCTGACTATTGGTTTGATCTGTGCTGTGGGTAAAATCTGACCCCGTACATTTAAGAACAGATGCTAGTGAGTTGCACTGTGGGATGTGTAGGATGTGGCACTTTTAAAAACTGACCAATGCTAGGCACAAACATCAGGATATCTTAGGCTCTGATGAGTTGATTTGGACCCCTTTAAAAATCTGCCTGTCATACTTTAAGTCCCCCAACTTATATGATAATTGCTGACATGCCCCTGTTTCTATATACTGGTCTTTTAAACTGGGCCCATAATTGCATAGAGGGCTTCCTTTACTATAGAGTTAGAAACAAAGTAAAGCTGGGAGACCAGTAGCATTTCTTACAGTAACATCTTGGTACCATTTAATCTGCTGAAAAAAGAAAGATAAGCGATCTAACTCTAACAGCAAAGACGACATTAGGCCACAGTATGGACACATATGGTAAAGGACAGAGATCCAGACAAACAAGCGTTTAATGCTATCAGGCCATTTGGGTCCAAGGAATATTTTTGCACTGATATCAACTTTGTCTATCTGTTTATAAGCTGACAGAAAAGTGATAATTTTATCTAGAAACGTCTTTCAAGAAACCAAAGGTGAAAGACATTGAACAGTTGATAATTGTCCTTCGTATCAAATAGAAATCTGGAAAAATGTGGAATATTTAGGTAAGAGCTCAGATGTTTCTCTTTAGTGTCCAGGCCACAGAATTACAGCACTGTGATCACGCAGATTTCAAGGAAAGAGAAGTGTCTGCTTTGTGTTAAATATGAGAAGAGGATATCCACTGAGTGACAGTACAGCTATGTTATACCAACTTCTTAGGCCAAAGGAATCATATTCTAAATGTAACCTAATTAGCTAATGGATATGCATATTGTTACATTTGGCTGTTAAATATGTTAATAAGTCACCAACTTGCAGACAATTTGTTTAAAATGTAAGTAGTACAAAAGGTATCTGATGAGATTTTAAATGCTGGGACTTTGTTCTGATGTTTATAATTGTGTCTCCGTATTTAAGATCTGCTTCATGATTGTTTCAGAGTTCAGCTTATCAGCGAAAGCTCAGATAATTCTGCACACATAATGAGAAGACTGTGCTTGTTTGGCAGATTTTGCTCTGCTTCATTGACTGTGATGTGAATAATAATGTGCGTACATTCTCTGGCTGGCTCTGTAGTTCTGACTTTGTCCAGCAGAGGGAGATGCTTCATTAAAAATGACAAAATGGGAAGATTAATAGTGTTTCCAGCCATGAATTGTAAATAATTTTATCAGAGACTTTGTTTCTCTCTCTCTGTGTGTGTGTGTGTGTACCTAGCGAGTATGTCTGCAGGATGCGTGGTTGTGTGTGTGTAGTTGAGAGAGAGTGAGACAAACATGTAGAGTGTGTGTATGTGTGGGTATTTATTTACGAATGTGTGTGGGTGTGATTAGTATGTCACGGAGGAACTGTCCCACTCAAGTTTTCCTTTCTGCTTCCTTTCTTTCACCTCTTCTTCCTCCTCCTCCTCTTCGTCAGTGTTGTCTGACTCAGCACTTATCATTCCTCCCACCCGTTCTTCACCCTCTTCTTCTTCCTCCTCCTCTTCACTTTCTTCTTTTGCATCCTCATCTGGTGCCTGAGGTCCTTTTATGTTCTAGAGAACAAAGTGTGATTTAGATGAGGCCTTGAAAATTTGTAAGATCTATTCAAATCAGAAGAAAACAGCAGCAGGCACATCTGGTTCCTTATTAGTTAAAAAAAAATTTCTTTTATGTAAACAGTAAAGGACTATGACACCCCAAAATGTAAATGAACCATAGATTACCTCCATGGGGTTGACTGTGATGGTGAGAGCAGAGTTGTCCCAGTCCACCTCAGGGTCTTTGGCCTCTTCCTCGTCCTCTCTGGACCCTTCCTGATGAGTAGCATGGATCCTGTACACACCGATCACTACAATCGCCACCAGGGCGGCGATACAGACCACAATAACTGCTGTTGCTGCTGGAGGGGTTGCTCCTAAGGAGAAGAAGGGAAGCGATGGGTTGCAGTTTATTATATTCTGCTGTTAAACTACCTGCTTGATTCCAACAATTATCCATACAGTGGATATACAATTTGGTCTATACATTAATTACTGTACATATTCTACTTGAAAATCAAAAAGCTAACAAAACAGGATAGTAATTATGGGATTCAATAAACCCTTTCCTTTATGTATTAATTGTGACAATCTTGTCCCCAGTGTTGCAGTACTTGAATCCTGAGCACTGATGACTCAGATTTGGACTCGAGCATTGATTGCATTTGGACTTGGAAGTTGGAGACAAAGATTTGAACTCCTTTTTTTTAATAACAGGCCATAATAATTTGGCGTAAGATATTGATACTGATATTCACACTATTCACTAAGTAGTGTGTGTGTGTGTGTGTGTGTGTGTGTGTGCTTACAAGTGCATTTGTTTGTCTACTGCGTCACACACAGTAAGTAAACTCCTTTTAAAATGGTAAGAGCTGTGTTTAATGTAGACCTTGATGACTTGGACTCGGGTAACAGGGACTCGACTCTGACTCAACTTTGACTATTCCTTGTTGACGCGGACTTGACTTGGACTCGACCGCTGTGGACTTGAGACTCGACTCAGACTTGAGGTTTATTGATTCGACTACAACACTGCTTGTCCCTGTAGGTTTAAACCGCAAAGGAAATTGTATTTCTTTACAGCTGTGGTCCCATTTCTGCTGTGGTGGACATCTTTCTATTCAGTTATGATATCTCACCATTAGAGCAAACATCATAAGTAATCTATGATCACACAGGTTGTAAGCAGTTCTCCCAGTATAATCATCTTGTCTAAACTGCATATTTGAAACAGAAAATGATGGTAAATAAATTTAAGTGTCTGTTGTCATCACACATTGCACTGTGAAAACGAGTCCAGCGACTGTACACTAAAAGCAGTAGATGTAGACTGAACCTGACCTACATGTATGGACCGTTAGGACAAGTGTTATTGTTAAACTTTGCTTCATTTCCACCTGTCTGACAATGGGTTGCCCATGATGTTTACTCTAATAGTTGGTGTCCTGTCTGTCTTTGGGGAATGGGAATTTTTGCTGTCAGCTAGTGGCTTACCTGACATGTGTGAGTTCACACTGTGCATCATGAGTGGGTGATGGACGGGCCTCATGTACTGAGCCTGGGCTGCCATGTGATTGACATGCTCCACGTGCGCTGAGTGGTGAAGAACACTGAGCTACAGGGGCAGGATAAAGAGCCATTATCCTCCAGTAACAGAAGTTTGATGGTAATTAGTGCAAACACAAATGTGAATAAATAAAAATAAGCAGATGGTGTAGTTTGAATGATGCAGAAAGAGAAAATGAATTAATTGATCATGAGAAACATCATTTCTGATATAGTAATTTTACAGGATAAAAGCAAGGAGGGAACAGAAGGCAAACAAATGGCTGACACCAGAGGAGAGAGACAGGATTCGACAGTGTAGGGCTGAACTATAATGGATAACAGACGTCACACTGACTTCCAGATTGAACTCATTGCTGGTGTAACGTCCATTGAGTTCAGAGCAGGTGAGTCTGAACTTCCTCTCTGTCAGGGCTGCAGCTTGCCAGTTCCTGTAGCACACCTGTCTCAGTGCCTGCTCATAGTGGGCCATAGAGTCCACACCTGGAAAGACACAGGGATGAATGTGACACTAACTGCTATGCAAACTGCATTCTGCTGTAATGAAAGTGATATATGGCTGTTTCAGGGACCTTCACAGTTGTATGCACAGACAGTGAGTGTTCATCTTACTGCTGTTTAAGGGACAAACAATTATTTAACAGTCTGTCCTCATAATTTTTAAGGCAGAAAGGTCTGTCTGTCCACTGCATTGTTAGTCCCACACACCCCTTCTGTTAGCCAGACCTACCATAAATAGATATTCCAGATGTGGAGTTGGTGGCATCCAGGTGTTTTCCCAACAAAGCACTGTGATGAATCTCCAGACTCTCTCTCTCAGGATTCAGTTCTTCCCCAATTACCAGGATGTCACAGTAGTCCAAGTTGTGCATCACCTCCGTCACGCCCGGTCTGTGGGCTGTGCAGTGTAAATGGTCATGAAATGTATTCCATGTTCAAATAGATATTAAATGACCAGCACACATAAAGGCAAAAACGTTTGACTTAAATCACCATCACAGTGATTTAAAAACATGTTTAACTGAATCATTAGTACAAGACTGGTACATGGCCTCTCCTCCACTCACATCCACCAAAGCTGTCCCCCTTTATTACTGTGCTGGTGATGTGAAGCTCTTTGAAGGGTGCCACACCCAGCGGACCCCGCAGGTCAGCGGCAGGCCTAATGAGTTGGTTAGGTCCTTCAATGGTGATTCTTGGTTCACTAGGCGGCAGCACCATAACGACTGCCTTGATGTCTGGGATGTAGAAACACGTGTCCTCCCCAAAACACCTGACACAAACACATATGCACAGTAGAAGAGTAAGTGGAAGTGGACTGGGAACATCAACAAACAACCACCAACTATTTTAAGATTTATTGATTCATATGAATCAAATATGTGACATCAGCTTTTTCCAACTGAGCTACTTCAAAGCAGAAAGAAGAGCTAGGATAAAAACACAAACACACAGACTGTATCGCTCATGTAAAAGTATCACAACAGAGGAAGCTGTTTTGATGTAGAGTAGGACCTTGTCCCTCGCAGTAAGAAGCTGAATGAGAAAGAACGTTTTCAGGGCTTTTGATATATTCAACTAAATGAGCAGCAATCAAAGTTAGATCAACATTTTTAGGTGTTATTAGGAGTTTAAATATCAGAAACAGATAAGCTGCTTCACAGTGCGAATGTGATCACATTGGACCAAAAATGATCAAACAATACACCAAATGTCATCAAATGGTAAATCCTGACTGGTGCACAGCCGTTCATGGCACCATTCTAACTGAGCCCCATCTACTTCAAACCAATGAGACGAGGCAAAGAATAAAGAAATACCGAAACATGTCATGTGAAAACCAAAACTGAACATTGGTGGAAAACTGTTAGGATACCGGGGCAAGCCAGTGATGAGCGCCTAAAACCTGGAAAGAATGAAACTTTTCCTAATATTCTTCCTCATCAGTACATGGCAGCTGCATGAAAGTTCAGTAATGCTTTATGTTACAGGTCTGTAAATTCCAGTTTATTTCTAAATAATGTTTTAGGAGGTTTCCTGGTAGGAACCATATAATTTGGCACCAGTTACAGAGTGATCAGTTGTTACAGCTAGCACAAACTTGAGGCTTTTATTTAGAAGGTGATCTACACGTGCACAATGTTACATTTGTGCACAAACAACCATCCGATTCAGCATAAATGTATACTTCTATTTCAAAGAATTAATAAATAAACAGTGAATATTAACTGAGGATTACACTGTGATTTCTTTTATGAAAATTCATCTGGAAGCCAATAATCAACTCAATATAACTCAGTGAACTAAGAAAATCAAGTCAGTCTTAGAACTTTGTCCCTGTTTTCTGTAACTAAAACCAAACTACATGGCTCCAGTAATTATTAGGAAATGATGGACCTGTAAAATAAAGTGTTAATGAAAAAGGGGGTGTTGTGGTTATATGGAAATAGAAAATGTTCCCAAAGATAAAAACTGAGACTCATAACTAAAAGTAGCATCAGCTCTGTGGTATCATTGGAATGATCATGTACAAACAAGAAACAGTCCCTTAAGCATTAAAAAAACATCCTAGATAATATTCAACATTATCATTTTCAAGGTTTGTCCCTAAAGGGATTTACTGTCTTGTATTTAGTCATGGTTAAAAATATTCTACTTTACTTGATGATGAGAGCGTTACTTCATGAACGTTTAAATTATTTGCCATTTGCCGTGGTATTGGCATTTCCATCTACACTCTGGCAATTGGCTTCATTGTTCTGTTTAAACAGATCTGTTTTATAGTGTCTGAAAAGTCTAACAGTAATAAAACACCTATCTTTTCTGTGCTTCACTAGGTCAATTTTCTTCATGTAATTGCTGTATAGACTGTATGTCAGCCCTAAAGCATCACCACCACAAGAGCCCAGTAATAACACAACAACAAAGTTACACTGTTAAGTTTTAAAAATAAAATGTAGCAATAATAGGGAGCAGTATTTAAAAGTTTGAGGTGAGTGCAAATAGTTCTGACCTCTGCTTTCACACTTAAAGAAAATAAACCACGAAAAGGAAAAAATAATCCCTTTTAAAATAAGTAATACACAAGGATGGATTTTTGGATCAGTGTAGGCTCGTGTGGAGATATAAATCTCCTGACCCTGTGAATCCTGACTTGAAAATTGTCACAGTTCAGGACACAGCTTTAAGCACCAACATCCCAAAGAAGAATAAAAAAACACCAGCATTGTCTAATGGGGCTACAGTACATATCACTTTCCCCCAGTTACTGACAGCATATTCAACAGTGTAAAGGCAAATCTCTGTCTTTATCTCGAGGGGAACTGTGAAGTGTTGTTCAAAGTTTCACAGCCTTTGTTGCTGCTCCTCGAGTTCACGTCAGGCTATTGGCGAGCACGTCCAGGCTGACTTGATCTGCCTGCGTTTGCTGCCGGACAAATGACCAGGTGCTGGATGGGTGGGTAAACTTCAGTGTCTCTGAATCTCATCTAAACATCACATAAACAGCTGTGCCAGCATATGTCTAAAACTTTCTCAGGTGGAAAACCTGAGAAAAGAGATTATGTTTGCCCCTGAGAACAAAACTCACAGCTGCTCCAGTAGAGGTGCTCAGTGGATAAACTGGGCAGCTCTACTGTACAGTGTGAGTACAAGAAACCAAATGAATGTAAGGCTAGAGGTTCAAACAATTTAAAGTGAGTTTCCTTTCCCAGATCACAGTTAAAAATGTGTGGTCCACGTGTGTGTGTACTCACTGTACTGTGGTGGTGATGTGTAGCTGTCGGAGGCCAGGTGTTGGGAACTGGCGAGAGTTGATGTAGGAGACTTTGGTCATAGCTGTGTTGATGCTGTCCGCATCCTGTCCTTCCACCACCAGCACCGACTGGGCGGGGTTAAAATGGAACTGGACACACAGAAAAACAACCAACCTTTGGAAATTCAAACATCCAGGTTCAAACACTGGTGGCCATGTTGCAATTCAATGACATGTGTGTCTTGCTGAAGAAACAGACAATAACTGTGTTTTACTGGACACATATCCCGACGAGGACACCTTGCTTAGGTCTTCCTCTACAGCACTGTTAAGGTAATTAACAGTTACTCCACTACCAACCTAGGCTGAAAATGTGACACCTGTGTGTGTGTGTGTTGTGTATGGGAAACCCCATCTCTATTTTTTCCCACACACCTTGATGTCCTTAGCGAGGCTTTCAAGGGAGTTAATATCAAGGCCTTCTTTGCAGGCCTGCAAACAGGAGATAACCTTCTGGGTTTCAACACGGCCTGGTCGGATTGTCAGACCCGACAGGCTGCCATGGAAATGCTGGGCAAACCTTGGGGTCGCTACCTCGCCACCTAATAGGGAAGAGAAAAGCAGAGAAACATGGAGAGGACAGATAAGACAGGGCTGAGGACGGTGAACCGAGAAGTGGGGCAAAAAAGGACAACTGACTGGAAACACACCGAACAAAAGAGACAACAACATGTATTATGTGCTGTATGTTTCTGAGGGTAAGGCACATTCAGTTTGCTGAAAAAACATCTGTGACTCTGCATCACAAAAACTTTACACGACCCAGTGGACAGAGAGCGCTGAAGAAATTAATAGTTATTTTTACACGAGTTTACAATTAAAGTGAGAAAATAAGCATGTGAAACAACTCTGACACCAGCTCACAGATAAAATAACACATTGTGTTTTCACAGCTTTCTGATGTCTAACAGAGTTTGCATTAACATATTGTACAGTAGTTTGAGAGAGTAAGAGAACAACAGCAATTATAACATAAACAAATGGTGTGTGTGACAAAATGTCTGTCACCATGAAAAAGAAAAGAGAGTTATTGTGCAGGAGATGCTCAAAATGACAGCTCTTGATTCTGCCATCTGTTTGAATACTGTACAAGCATGCTACAGATACTGTGGGAGAAGGTTGCAGCAACTATGAAATATTGTTTAATAAAGACAAAAATCTAGCTGAGAATATTACAGAAATATCAGGTAGTCTTCAACACTATAAGCAAATATTTGACCCACTTGTGATACTTAGCACAACAGCAAATATTCTGGCACTTCTTATCAGGTTCTCGCACTGAATGTGATGCACGAGTTTGACCTTCTGTGTGTGTGTGGTATCACAGCAGTGCAGTGTGTGGGGTTAGCTCCATCACAAATTTAGACAAGTCCTGACATCTTCTAAAGAATGCACTTTTTTCATACAAGGCACCAGATTCATCTCGGCCCTGCAGACCAGTTTCATCCCTCCTGATGAAACCATAAAAGCCTAGTCCAAACAAATGAACATCAAGTGCAATGAGTTTTTCTAGTGTAGGTCAGCTATGCTTCATACATGCGGATACAGTCCATCAAACGGTGAGAATCAAGTCTGCTTGGTACAAATAACACCAGAATTGAATGTGTTTGAGCTTAGATTTATACTGTACAGTAAACACCAGTGTCACTGTAGCTGCAGATGTTATTCTGACTAGCAGCCACCAGCCAGCCTGGACAGGGCTGGAGGCGTCTACACTCTCAGCTCTGTCAGTGGGAATCGAGACATGCTGAGCTGAGAGGAGAGACACCGACCACCTGCCTTCAGCATGCCGTGCAGCAGGAGGCCTTAATTGTACATCACATAAAAATTTGCTGTTGCATGCAAAAATTGGTCAGTAAGTACAGTAGCTGTTCTCCAATACTCTTACTAAATATTACACTACATACCTGGAATTTAACTTAAGCATTGTTTGTTTGTTTTTTATACAGATTACTGATATTTATTTTGTCTTGGACACTCCCTCTCCTTTTTATCAATGCATCAACCCACTTCCCCTTTGTTTATGTCCCTGAGCTGTGAGGTGCAGTGGGTATAAGCTGACAATGGTGATGAATGAAAGCACAAGGTCAGGGTGTGGTCCATGTCCAAAAACCATTTGGGTCTATGGTATATATTATGCAATAACCTTTAAATGGATCAAGCCGACTACTGCTGGAGTTTCAAAGGAAGCTATATAAACAACATTACAGTGAATAGTACAGGTATGTTTCTGAATCACAAAGCAGCAGAGTTGCTGCTGTAAATTAACATCACCTCTGAAGCCATGTTTACAGCTAGACAAATGTTAGTACCGTGTGTTTGTGACAGAGTTTAATGAAGGCAGGAAAAGACATTTTTCTGCACTGCAAAAGTTGAAAAGGTCACACCTTAGAGCACTTTTGCAGTTTTCTTTCATGGAGAATGTTTCACATCTAGATCACAACCAGGGGATATTAGCACACTGAAGAAAGAGTAGCACGCTGTCGAGCTTTGTCAGTAGCCAAATACCAGAATGCTGTGGTTGCATTTTAGTAGAGCACTTCCATACAGTACTAAATCACACACATACAACAGGATGTGGCAGTCCCTGGTAGCCACCTTCAAGAGTAATTTTATGTTCACATTTGTCACAAGAAAGTTTTCTGTAATGTCGGCTTTTTTGCTGCTACAGTAAAATACACTGTATCGGATGCTATGGTTAGCACGTTTGTTAGGACTGCGGCGTCAGACTTGCAAACATACTGTACCACAATGAAATGTAATTAGAAAGACTTAACAATTAGCTGAATTCTGTTTATTACAATTGTGTGTGATCTTGTAGATATATCACCGCCTCTGTATCCATGGTGACACTGTGTACTTCTATGTGACACAATAACACAAATTCAGTATTATTAATTTTTGCCCATGTTTTAGGAATAGACATGGTGAGCGCTGTGTTTGAGGTGACAGCAGGTGTATGTACAGCAGAGTGTAAAAATGTTCCTAATCATTCTTTCCCTCTCTCTACATGTAAAAACACTTATCACTCTTCTGCCCTTTATTTTCGATGGTGATCTCTCTGTTATCAAGACAAGGCCTTTGTGAGTCTCTGATATCGCTGGATTGCCTCTGTTTGTTTACCGATGCAAATGTTAATCTACAAGAACAAACAAAAAAAGTATAAAGCCGAGAAATGGAGGAGTAGACATCCCATGTTGATCTTCATTACACAGTAGGAAGATAAACAGCTATGATTATCTGTAAATAATTTCTTTGCATAAACAAATCAGTTAATTAAACAATCAGTGATATGATTTGAAAATTGATATGAATGAAGTCTGTTCTGTAATACTGACAATGCAGTGAACGTGCTAGATTTCACACATGCACGCTGCAAAAAAGTTGTACATTTTCAGTTTTTGGGCTGAGGCTGACAAAATAAATGAAAACATAAATATTTTTTTTCAGAATTTCACCATGCTGTTTTACTTGTAAACATATTTACACACAAAGTAACACATGAAGTCTGTAGTGACAGATTTTTAACTTTGTGTTTTAAAGTAACACATTATGCTGCTACAACAGCTGCAAACTGATTTTAGTTTACTGATAACATACTGTACATTGACTCATTTCCTGCTCTTTCTGGTGCCTACTCTTGTTTCTACTTCTTATTTGTAGACTGTGCTTTGGACGTTCACTCCTACTTTTCTGCAGTAAATGAAGTGAGATGGCAAACATGTTTCCCATTCAAACTCATGAACAGTTTATTGCTACAGAAAACTGCTTTTTAACACTGAAACATATTATTGTTAACCTAGTGCAGTCACAACACACGTCTTCTTTTAGCTTTCAGGGCAGTAAAAGTACAGTCTGAATGCCTTTCATTCTACACACC